ACAACTTATAAATGATGTTGCTTGCAAAGATGAAAGATGATTCAATTCCATAGGTATGTCTTTAAAGCTTTTTGTCATAGAAATATATATATATATATATATATATATATATATATATATATATATATATATATATATATATATTTATCTAATAAATAATATTAGATAGAAGATAAATATAAGTAGATTTGATATTATCTTATGGAAAAGCTTCTTAGAAGCTTCATAGATATATATTTGACTTCATACATATTTGTAGTTGATTGGTAGGTTAGAAATTTGGCCAACAAGCTAGTCATGTATTGCATATATTGGTACCTTGTGATACAAGCTAATAATATAGCATACATATAGAAAACTTACCTTATAAGTTAAGACATATGTCTTCTAATGTCAATATGTATTAGAGGTCTTATAAAACACCACCATATAACTTTTAGTTAAATAGTATATATGGAAGTAAGAGTAAAGCATTTTTTAGTCTTATCAATGTCTTTTTAGTCCTTAATCATATTTTAAGATTTTTTAGTCTTCTTATCTTTGGAAATAACAATCAAATTGAATATTATATCATTATTGAGTGCTTCTATAGTCTTTTTGAGTGACACAAGAATATATTGAACTTTTAGTTCTCTGAGATTCATGTCCTTGATAGTTTGACAAGAGTTTTAACTTATTATTTTTGTTTTGTTTTAGAAGTAGATTATTTCACTTCTATTATATTTTTGAAGGTTGCAGACTATTTATCTATAAATTAAGTTGTAATTTTCTAATACTATTTTTTTCTCTTAAAAAGGATAGATTATCTTTTTTATAGAAATTTTCATTTAATATCAAAGGTTACAAAGAATCTTCTTCTAATTTAACTTTTATTTTTTTTAAAATTTTTTAATTAAAAAAAATTATGGATGCTATTTTTAATAAAAATAAGAATAGATTTGTAATTATTTTAGACCTTCATAAGTTTATCAATACTCTTAGGATAGAAATCTTATATATTTTCAATGTGAATCATAGAGGTAATATTCCTACATCTATGGAAGAAATTAATAATAAAATTTATATTGAAGAAAAAGAACTTTGAAATTACAAATACATAGCATTAATAAGGTTGCTCACAAAGTATGTATGAAGTAAGATATCTCTCACCTCCAACACCTATTACTTATAAGTGGTGGTTGTTGCCATAATCAAAAACTTCCATCTTTTGATGAATACATCTATCCAACATTTTACTAAGACTATCTATTACTTTTTTATCTACTATAAAAATATATCTTTAATATATTCTTTATACCTTTAAGATCTTTTGTCCATTCATCTACTTTATTCCTTAGCCTTCTTATATACCAGGAATCAATCTTTTAACTAATAACAACTTACTTAAAATAATATCCTCTACAATGTAATTTATTCTACTATCACATTTATTTATTTATTTTAATACTTCCACTTTGATATTGATCAAAGGCTTTCAATCCTAATGCTTTTGTCTACATGTGATGCCTATCCTTTAGTAATACCTTTGTCAACAAATCAATAAGTGTAAAATAAGTAGTTATTTTCAGAATATAGATACCTAGTGTATAGTGTGAACAAAGATAGATAACTACTGAAAAGGTGGTTCAGCAGGTAGAATGGATGAATAGTCAGGAAAAGTAGTTATCATCTATAGTATAGGAGTTGGTATCTCGAGGTAGTATAAGGAGGATGAGAGAGGGGAAGAAAATGCCAGACTGTGAGAGTTGTGAGTCGAGGGCCATTGCTGTGATAGTGTGAGCCAGAGTAAGCTTGGTGCTATCTCTTTTCTTTTGTTTGTTATTTTTTTTGAATAAGAGGATTGAAAGTTTCTGAATATTGTAAAGTGAATTATGGAATGGAAATATGATTGGTATTATTTGAGAAGAAGAAAGATTGAATGCTGAAATCTGATTGTAGTTCAGCAAAGAGAATGAGTCTGTGTTTGTGTGAAACTTTGTAATGTGAATGGCAGTTCTGTTTGAAGAATTCAAGTGATTGGAACGAGGGTAATTATGTGCTGAAAGCTGTGAGGGCATAGTATTACAGTTGGAGATTATGAGGGTGAATATATTGGTGGAAATAGCAGTTATTGATATGACTGAATTGCTGTAAGGAAGAGACCGATAAGGTGAAGGAAGAGATTATAGTTTCCTTGGGTATTTAGATATTAGAAATAGAGACGATACATTCAGGAGGTAATTGATTGTGTGACCCTAACGTGAATGCTTAAGCAACTAGTCATTCCCCGTATTTGAATCCCCATATACGGATTTATGTTGGGAGATTTCTTCTGGAATAAGTAAAACGAGCAATCACATTTTGGCACCGCTGCCGGAGAGTGATAATAGCTTTGAGTGTTAGGAATTAATTACCAAACGTGTGAGAAAATTGGCAATGGAAGACGATTTCACTAGTGTTTGAAGAAAGAGTATGGTTATTAAGAATGAGAATTTAACAACAAAGAGAATAAAGCAATCAA